AATATTTACTGGTGTTATTATAGTTAAAAGTACACAAATGTAGAAAAAGTACATCGTTAATTTGATAATGAAAATTGTTAATAAAAAATCGCGCGATTTTTTATTAAAAATTTTTCCCTGCGGCGCTTTTCCCATAAAAATCAATACTTCGATAAATAATAAAAAATTTGAATAAAAAATCGCGCGATTTTTAAAAATAAAAATCAATACTTCGATAAATAATGAAAATTGTTAATAAAAAATAGCGCGATGTTTTATTAAAAATTTTCGCCTGCGCCGCTTTTCCCATAAAAATTAATACTTCAATAAATAACTAAGTTAACATTTTTATTACAAAATCTCTCGATTTTAGACTGAATCACTTTTTTTTTTTATCAATACATCGATATTTAATTAAAAAAAAAGTTAATTACAATGCCCGTTTTTATTGTTTCTCGTTTTCAGTGCTTTTTTTTTGGGCATTTTTGGTTGTGTGGCAGCACCGACTTTGTAGTACAATTGGTTTACAAAGCAAAAAGTGAGGTTGAAGTTGACATTTTTTGCAACTTAAAATTCAATTTTCATAAAAACTATAAGCCTCCAGATTTACAATCACAAAAAGCTGCTCTAAACCCCCTCATTTTTGTTTTTTTTTTAAAGCCGGGTTCCGTATTGGAAAATTTTCCCGCGAATTTTGCCAAAAATGGCATATTTCAAACCCATTTTATAATTAAATTAGTAATCAAAAATAACAAAAGTGGGTGTTAAAATAATGTGTATACCCTTGATTAGAAGTGTGTGCAATTTTTTTTGGATCGGGTCACCCCTTTGGACGCAATACCTCGAAATAGACCGACAACGTACTAAAGAGTACCCTTAGTGAGTATTGTAAATTGTTTGTTGTACAATAAAGTTAATTGTACTACAATTTGGTCATCGTGAGCATTTATTTAACAATCCAGCGATACGAGCCGGAAGTTATTTGGGAAATCCCTCAAGGTTTCGAGGATAATCGTAACATTAGCTCTGATCCAATAGTTTTCGTGAAAAATCCTGTAAAACTGTCAAACAGCAAAATTACTCTCTGAAGTGAGAGTAAAAAGTGAGTAACAACAAAAAGTACGGGAACAAAAAGACCATTTTTCCTGTAAAAACGTCAACCAGTGATTGTTTGACACTTTTCATGATTTTACCAGAAGAAAAAGTTCGGGTAAAATCTTGCAACTTCATTCTCTACACAACTCTCCAAAAGTCGCTCTCATTTGCAGGATTTTGGAGGATTTCGGAGTACGGGAACATTTTTCCTGTAAGTTCGTGTAAAATCCTGTAAGTTCATGGAGTACTGGATCAGAGCTATTACTTTCTTCCGATACCTACTCAGTACTCGGTTCAAAAGTATCGATACCAAAATTACTTGGTATCGGACGAAAAGTATCGAGTATGTACTTGTATTTACTAATATCGTTTTGACCCTACGATCAGCTGTTTTTGCGAGTTTAATTTTCACATTTCTTTTTGTCGCAATTTTCTTGTATTAGTTTAACGATCGCAAACAATATCAACAAGGTAAGTGGTGGAATTATGATTTCATTTATTTAAGATCTTAAATAAGGAGTTCACAGAATATAATTTTCCCCACGTTCTAAGCTATAGGTGCACTAAGTCTAGATTTACATGATTGAGGCGTGTAACGCTAATGCTCAATATAAAGCCTTGTCTCGTGGAGCTTCAATAACATCCTAAGGGATATTAAGGGTTGGACTAAGAATTTTGTAGTACTGTTTGTCGCTTCAGAGATGTTGTGGAAAAGCCGCTGCTTCTGCCCCTACTGAAATAAGAGAAAAACAGACGAAACTTTTTAATGGCATACCTCATTTCCCCTTGTCCCTGAAAGGAATTCTTCGTAGAAATACTGTGGGTGGCATTCCCGGTCCGTCAACGTAGATAGGAGGTATGCGCAAAAATACTGTAGATGTCGTAGCCCGTGTTGGATTAATGAGAGTAATTTTTTTATGGAGTGACAATAGGACACCATAAAAATGATCATGTACCGATACGGGTTAAAGTATTGGCACACAATACGGGTTTTGGGTACTCTTTATGAATTTGTACAACGATTTTGGGTTGCTGTGCCCAAACGCGTGAATCGAATCAAAAAACTTACACACACTTGTAGACGACAGTTCACGCTTTATTACAAAAATTTAATTTACTAAATCTGTGCACTAATTTATCAATAATGTCGGTTGGAAATATGGTATTTGTTGCAAATTTTTGTTATAAATTTGTATATACATTTTTATATACAAGATATTTTTATAAAACACCCAGTAACCAAAATAGACATCACTGGGGCGGTAGCCCCAGGTTTACCACACAGAAAGGGAATTCTAGTTACCTCATCCTTTCCCAAGGTTACATCACTGGGGCGGTAGCCCCAGTTATGTCACAGAAAGGAGAATTCTACGTAGTAAGGGTTATAATCCCTAAGCGCGGCCGAAGGCCGCCTACGAAGAAAGGTGTTCTCTGCAAAAGGTGTTCAGCCCCCCTTCTTCGGACGCAAGTTTAACTTTGTTTTTTTTTCTTGCAAAATATCTAAAATTCCCCTATTTTCAAACAGCTCCCAAGGGGTCTTTAGGGCGGGAGGGGGTGAGGGGTGACTTTTCATAAAGCGGCGTTCATCCTCCTTCGTTTAGGGGGGGTTTGGGGAGCCACGCCCCCTCCCCCTCCGCCCCGCACGCCTAAATCGTTGTACAAATAGCTAAAGATTTCCCCGGGTTTTAGTACGGGTACCTCTTACACGGGTTTTGGTAGGGATTAAAAAGTTCCAAATTATCACCTTTTTTGGAGCAATGTTTAGTTAGTTTCCCACTGTTTTTGGGTTAGTGTTCGGAGCGGAAGGTGAGGTGGCTATTGATATCCCGCCCACTAGCACAGTTCAAATTTTTTCAAAAGTGATACCTGACTCCTCGAAAGCCTTCCACAGACACAAAAAATGTAAACTTGTTGGCGGCCTTCGTCCGCGCTTAAAAAAAACTAACCTCATCAGTCCAACTCCGGCTACATTGACCACAGTATTTTTGCGCAAAACTTATCCTTACTAAGAAGAATTTTTTTTGCGGTGTTGCCGGAGAGGAAGATTACTAATAAATTACTGACCGAAAATGATAAAATTAGGTTTTAAACTGAAGTTTAGGCCAGGCCTTTGGAGAAAACGATTTTTTTCATCGTTCCGCTCCGGTCCTTTACAACTGCCCTAACAACTGAAGCAATAATATGAGAAGGGGAAGGGCCCTAGCAATACGGCCTGGAACTTGCCTGTTCAGACCACTTGTCTAGTTTGCCTGCTCTGCAGTATGATTGAGAACTGCAATTGCGTTTTCTTGGAATTTCCGACCTTGTACTCGATTATTCAAATAAATTGTAAGTGGAAGGTCGGAACTTTTTGGAGGGGGCAATTGCATATTTTTATTCATGGGGCCCAATATAGACATATTTAATATAATATATATAGTTTTTGTATACATAATTTTATATTTATTTATTTATGTCTAACAACTAACTATAGTTAAAACAGACATTAAGCAGAATTATAGATAAAACTATCTGCCATTATGCTGAATTGTCTACTTAAAAATTTAATTTACAAGAATTACTTACATATGAAAGAATTCAAAAACCCAATCTAGAATTTCAAACATTAGAAATTACAAAATGTACATGATCTTAATGACTGGACATAAGAAATCTTTCCAATTCTAATGTGGTTGCTCTAGTATTGGTAAAGTCTATGTCTAAAAAATTTGAAAAGTGATTGAAGTCTGATAAGGTTCTGTTTATTGGCGCGTTTGCACCATAAACCGTTCTACTTAGCCCAACCTTAAACACGTCAAAACGACGCAAGTTACGGCTAGGAACATACAAATGGATTCTCTCAAGTAGGGCCGGGCACTCAACTTTTCCCGAAATAATACCCAATAAAAATGCGATAGCCTGAGAAGTTCTTCTATTATGCAAAGTTGGAAGGCTAATTAGCCGATAATTTTTGCAATAAGACCATCACAATTCATATACATATGTATGTACGAATATCATAGTTGTATTATTAAGTCGTAAGACTGTAACAAATAAATAAATAAATAAATATTTTATTTGGCTCCGAGGTCCGCTCAGCTCCACTTCGGCCACGATTCAATAATGAAAGGTTTTGTATGTAAGACTCGGTCTCACTCAATTTTATCAGCTACGCTCTTACCTTACTCCTAAAAGCAAAAACATTAATATATCTTTTCCAAATTTCTTTGCAAGCTTTAAGAACATTTTTAAATTTTTAGTAGTGAAATTTTTACTTTTTAAATTTGAAAAAATTTTTGTTCATCCGCTGGTAACGACATTTCTTTAAATGCCGAATAGTTGAATTTGTCGACATTCGTGGGGACCAATTGATTCTGCAAAGTTGCTGTAAAGTAAGGTGCCAATGGTTCTGGTCAATAAGTCAACGAAGGTATTTAGGCATTGACATACACAACTCAATCCTGGTGTCTCCCAATGAGACCTTAAGCTGATGCCAGATAAAACGCTTGCTTCGCTTTACGTGACAGATTCGCTTTGACAGATAAGATGAATT